AGAGCGCCCTGGGTGGATCAATGGCACAAATAAAGCCTGTAAATATTTCATGGAGTAGCAGAAACCAGACCCTCAGATTCCCCCCCCCAGCTGTGACAGCAAGGTTCTTTTAAAAAAAAAAAATTGTGGAAAATCCCAAAGTAAAATATGAAGGAAAGTCGATTTTTTTGCAGTCCCGGCTTTGGTTTGGCTTCCATTTTGCTATTCGGGGTTTAGGAACCAATAAATAAAATAACCGGTTTACTTTAGAATGGCTTTCAAATGACTCCATATAGTTATATTTCATCTTCTGGATATACGAGATGGGTATAAAGTTCCTGTTCTGTGCATTAAATGGATCCTACTTGTGTTTATTTCAGGGTCAGTGCTTCCTGTCTTTGTCTGGAATGAAGAAAAGAGTGTAAAGCAACAGAAGACAGTGGTGGAGATCCGTCGATTTTGATTTAAAAGAAGAAAAAAGCAGAATAAAGAAGTGTAAGAATGAAAGGGGGCAGGTAGAACACGTTTTCATGCATTTGCTGATGGTTTCTCGTGCTTTTCTTCCCTCCCTTTCTTTTTCAGAGCTTCCTGATTGTGTTTTCTTGTCCTTTTCTGCTGGTTTGCTTTTTTTTATTGAACCTTTTTCCTCCCCCTCTCCCCTCTCTTCCCCTCTCTGTTCTTGATCAGATGAAAAAAAACACAGGCTGTTCTCACTTTCCTTCAGGTCTGAGCAGTAAGAAAAAAGAAAAAAAAGGAAACGTGGCTCATTATCTCTCATCCATCGTTTGATTTTTCATGCTTTTCTTGCTGATTGTACATGAACGAATGGAGAATAGAGACAGAAGTCATGATGAGAAGGTGCTAGCTTACACCATGCTGCATTTCTACTTTTCTGTCGGTTTATCCGACGTCTTAAACACAATGTCAGGTGGCCTTCAACGGCTGGACGCTCAAATATAAAGAAAATATAAAGAAAAGCTTTGACCAGAGTGAACAGGGAATGCGAGATAAGGCAGAAATGGAGGGAAGACCTTGAAAGAAACGAAGAGATGGGAGCTTTATGTGGGAGAAAACTAGAAGAAAAAGCATTTAACCCTTTAAAGCCCGATCCAAGAATAAAACAAAACAGAAACTTACTTTTCTTTTGTTTTAAGTCTATATTTGTCCCTTTAACAAAATATGTAAAAACAAAAAACAAAAATACATTTTTGATATTAATAATTTATTACTATGGGATAAGTCAAGATTATTTTTTGTGTAGTCTTCTGCCCCCTGTTATCAGGTGTATCTGATTTTGTAAAATAGGATTTTGAGCAACGTTTTTACCATTAAATTATGCAAAAATGCCATAGTCTTGTTTTGTGCCATAGCCACATTTTTGTCATAGCCATGTTTTACCACAGTTTGGTTAATCCAATGCCATAGCCTTGTTCTTGACTCTTTCTTTGATACTTTGTTCATAGTTTTGCCACAGCCTCGTTTCGAACCCTGTCTTGTCATCCACTCTTTTGAGTGCGTTTTTGTTAAAATAATAGCATCAATAAGGCATCGATCACTTTTCTAAAATAACAATGCGCTGCTGTTTCTGATACTTTCCATAAGCTATTACAGTGTTCTGTACTTTCATCTTGGTATTTAACTCATTTGCTGCCAAAGACGTCTATAGACGTCAATTCAAATCCAACCGTTGACTGCCAAAGACGTCTATAGACGTCTTTTATGTTTTTCAACGAGAGTGGCTGGGGGACGATCTGCTAAAGCTTGTCTGTAAATATCAGGCTTCTAGACAGAGTATGTAGTAACAAATTGACCCTCTAGGGGGCAGTGCCACTTTTGATGGGAGATGAGCATAGACTGTAGGCAAATAAGAAAAAGGTAACGTTTCGCTATGAGAGAACATGTGGCCGGTGAGACGCAAGTCGAGGAAGAACGGAATAAGGTAGAAACTAATTGTTTTTTCCTGATGAAAGAAGAGAGTCTACTCTTTCTTTTGGTGTGTTGGGTGTTTACATAGTCATAGCACAAACTATTCTGTGGCTCTTGAAAAAACAGTCAAAATGCTCAAAAAACTCTGGCAGCATGGGACTCTGTTCTGAAAATGGCTGCCAGTCAATGAGTTAAAAGGCTGAGCTTACCTACTAAGTGACCGTTCCCTCACTGACTCCCTTTACTTTACAGTGATGCGGCTAACAAAACAGACCCCGTTCCCTCCTAACTGGAACCTGTGGGACTTTATCTTCTGGACCCAAGTGACACCCTAACCGACATTCAACATCCAGCTCTCCACGCTCGGCTCGTTCTGAGTCAGATTCTCAAACTCTCATGTTTCCACCCCTCTGCTTTTGTCTTCCTTTCATCTCCCCTCGCACATCAAAGGCTCCTCCCTAAGTCTGTGTGGCCTGAATAATCACAGGCGTCTTGTCAGACTTCTAGAGGAGATCCGCTGAATAAAAGAATAAAGCAGAAGTGGCTCCTGGGTGGTTTTTCCCGCTCCTTTGCTAGCAGGTCCTACCCCTGTGTGAGTCCACCCGGAGCTTAGGGTTGTCACGATACTTGATGAACATTGAACATTTTCAACTCGATACCGATAGTCAGGAAAAAAAAAAAATCAAATTTTATTTAACCTTTATTTAACTCATTGACTGCCAGCCATTTTCAGAACAGAGTCGCTCACTGCCAGAGTTTTTTTAGCATTTTGACTGATTTTTCAAGAGCCACAGAATAGTTTGTGCTATGACTATGTAAACACAGAACACACCAAAAGAAAGAGTAGACTCTCTTCTTTCATCAGGAAAAAAAATGTGTTTCTACCTTATTCCGTTCTTCCTGGACTTGCGTCTCACCGGCGACATGTTCTCTCATGGCGAACCGTTAGCTTTTTCTTATTTGCCTACAGTCTATGGCACTGCCCCCTAGAGGGTCAATTTGTTACTACATACTCTGTCTAGAAGCCTGATATTTATGGAAAAACTTTAGCCGATCGTCCCCCAGCCACTCTCGTTGAAAAACATAAAAGACCTCTATAGACGTCTTTGGCAGCGAATGAGTTAACCAGGAAGTCCCATTGAGATTCGGAATCTCTTTTTCAAGAGAGACCTGGCCAAGGTAGCAGCCAAACCACAAGAAATTCATACATATTACATTTTACATAATAAAATCAGAGCAATATGTTAAAACACATTGACTCGATACTCGATACCATTTTCGATACCTCAAGGATAAAAACAAAGACTCCAAAATTTAACTGAATTGTGTCTTTCATTTCAAACTGACCTGTTACTGATGTTATCGTGACTGGTGGCCCACATTAATGACCCTAACCCTAACCCTAACCCTGACCCTGACCCTAACCCTAACCCTGACCCTGACCCTAACCCTATCCTAGCCCTAACCTTGACCCTAATCCTAACCCTTAACCTGACCCTAACCCTAAAGCTAACCCTAACCCTAACTCTAACCCTAACCCTAACTCTAACCCTAACCCTAACCCTAACCCTAACCCTGACCCTAACCCTGACCATAACCCTAACCCTTCATAATTGTGAGAAATAAATATTTTTTGGTTAAACTTGTTTGGATTTATTTGGCAAACCTATTTAATATACACTATTTAACATAATATTATGTTTAGAGTTTAATTAAGTGTTTGAAAGATTCATTTCACTATTTTTAAATTAATGTCTACAGTATATTGTCATGAAGCAATTAGGATTCTCTTGCCTGGGATTTTCCTATTGGTGACGTAATCAAAATGGCCGACTTGGATGTGGGCGGAGTTGGATATGTACTTGATTAATGGTAGCATGTTATTATTAGCCATTAGCCGCAGCTAGAAACGCTAAAGTCTTGTTAATTATCATAAAAAACGTATATAAATACATAAATAAATCAGAGAGAAGGGGGCAGGTATCGATACTTTTGAAAATGAGTATCGTATCCGGATACAACATTTTAGTATCGATACTCTTTTGAGTATCGATACTTTTGACAACCCTGTTGTTGAGGGGGGGAAAGGGGAGGCCCGGCCCGTGTTTTTTATGTTTATGTTTGTCACGTCTGGGGGAATGTCTGGTGTCTCGTCATGTCTTGATTACCTGTTGTGTTCACCTGGGGTTCCCCTCCCTCATGTGTTTAAATAGTCCTCGTTTCCCTTGTCCTGTGCCAGTGTGTTTTCGTCCTTCTTGTTTTGTCCTTCTTGTTGCGTCTCTCGTCCCTCGTCTTTCGTCTCCCCATGTCACGTAAGGTTTTGCTTTTTGCCATAGTCTTATTTACTTTGTTCCAAAGCCATGTTTTTTCACAGTTTTGCCACAGCCTTGTTTTTTAACCTTGTCTGGACTTCCACCCTTTTGAGTATTTTTTGTTCCAATAAACCCCTTTTTTCGTCATCTCCGCGCCTCAGTCCTCCATCAAATCCCACCGCCCTGACAATGTTTATGTTTATGCATTTGGCAGACGCTTTTATCCAAAGCGACTTACAGAGTTTTTTAAAGCCTACCTCTGAGGGGGGACTTCATGGCGGCCTCCACCATGCCCACCAGCAGCTGCAGGCTCTTGGGGTCCTGGGCCAGACCCGAGGCGAAGGCCGCCAGGGCGTCGGCATGACGACCGAGGTACTGCAGGGCAACCCCCTGACGAAAGTAGGCCTGCCGAGACACAAAAAAAAGGGGTTTATTTTCCAAAAATGCACATTTAAAAGACATGGATTTACCCTCAGTGCACACTCAGACCATACGAAAGCTTTAACCCTTTAAAGCCTGATCCAAGAATAAAACAAAACAGAAAAAATGATATTTTTTTGGTTTGAATTCCTCATTTGGCCTTTTAATAAAATATGTAAAAAGAAAAAACAGAAAATACATTTTTAATATTAATAATTTACTACAAAAAAAAGTCACCGATCAGCAAATTAAGGACATTAATTCAGCCCCAGCATCCTCAGCTGCCTGTGATGAGTCATGTGATCGATATTGATCAGACTTTTATGCTTGTATGTGAACTCTGAAATGATCCCAATCACATTTAATCATGGAGACTCACCGTGTATTTGTAGCCAACTTATTCATTTTGATATTAGGCTGATATAGCTAATATAGACACACACAGCATGTGTTGCCTTCATTATAAGGCTTTTAACCCTTTAAAGCCTGATCCAAGAATAAAACAAAACAGAAAAAATTACATTTTTTTGGTTTGAATTCCTTATTTGGCCTTTTAACAAAATATGTAAAAAGAAAAAACAGAAATACATTTTTTATATTAATAAGTTATTACTATGCGATAAGTCCAGATTATTTTTTGTGTAGTCTTCTGCCCCCTGTTATCAGGTGTATTTGATTGTGTACGATAGGATTTTGAGCAAAGTTTTTACCATTAAATTATGCAAAAGGTGTCAGACGCAAAACATTTCAAAAACCGTATGTATCAAATATGATACATTTGGCATTTTAGGGTTAAAAAACCTGGATTTACCATCAGTGCACACTCAGATCTTACGAAACCCTTAAATGCCAAAAAAACTAATAAAAAACAACAACAATAACACTCTTTCTGTTAGTTATGGCTCCTGAAATACACTTTAATGTAAAGTTTATTTCAGAAACTAAAGGGAAAATGACACATCTCGACATGGGGCCTGTGTCCCAAACATGGCCGCCATCTTGAAAGCCGCCATCTTGAAATGATGATTTTAGAAATATCCTTCCAATTTAGTTCTGCCTTACTTTCATATAGTTCATTGTAAACAATCAATTTAGGGAGACTTAAAAGAGCTTTTGTAAAACCTAAAAAAACGATCAAGCAATTTTTCCCCATTTTTAGAAGTTCCCTTATGGACAAAAACCCTTATAAAAACACCAAACTTTGCTTTCAAAGTGGAATATTTGATCAAATAGTTTAACTTTTCCTGACTTTCTAACAGTTCTGATTTTTTTTTGGTTTAGGATGCTTTGGGAAAAC